AGCCAGTCCTGTGTTTACTTCATTTAAAGAAGTTTACTATACAGCTTTAGGCAGTACTAGAAAAAAAAATTGTAGATGGTGGGAAAAATTATGAGAAACACACAAGATTATGCACATCTTCATTTTGGAAGATTTTGAAGTACTAAGTAAAATTTTGTATGTTTGATAAGATTTTAGAATACTTCAAAACAAGAACACAATGACAGAAATACACTTGGAAATGACAGCAGCTTGCCACTGGGGAGCTCTGCTTAAAACTGTTAACATGTACACACAGAAAGAGAATCCAAAGCCTTCGTGTATTTCCCATCAGATAAAACGTATAGAGAGAAAAAATTACATTAGCAAAAGTTAGAGCTAACCTGCAAAAAATCTTTTACTGTAGCAAACTCAGGCAATGATAGGCTCAAAGCCAAACGTGGTAAAATAAAAATCATTTTCGGCAGTTTTACCTATTTCAGACGTTACAAACTCCTTCCTAAGGAAAAAAAGAGGGAATTTTGGTATGAAGTCCTGGAATTGGTTAGGAAGACACAGTTGACCACCTCCCTACCTTGACTACCACCTTTAAGTTGACCTAATTTTCACAGACTGGACATGCACTGCATACTGTATGTATCAGTTCCGTATGTTGACCATCTCCATATGTTGACCAGTTTGTTACAGTCCCTTGAGTGGTCAACTTAGAGAGGTTCTACTGTATATATTTAAGTATTTGCTCTTAGGAGGAAATGCTTTTAGAAAGTCTAACCTGCAGTTATAAATTAAGGGCAAACAAATGGTGTCCAAAGTGATATGTTTTTGGATTTATTCTCTTCCCTTACACCAATAGGTCTGTCTAGGGATAATGACTAACTTACACAGACCTTTAGCAGACCTTCAAGTGTCAACATCCACACAGTCAGACATCCCCTCTCAAAGAGTGGATCCTTTTACTGCCATGGCCAAAAGCACTGTAAGTTGTGGGTGAGAGTAATATGCTGAACAGGTCACAAGAAAACAAGCTCTGCCTCTAGCTAACTGTTGTGGCTCTGAGGTGATGAGTTTTTTCCTTTTCAAAGGGCAGCTGCTGTTTCAGCATCTTCTTCTGGAGTCCCTGGAACCATTTCAGGCCATGTGTCAAGGGAACCCTTGAGCCCATCACAATGACGGAGGCCAAGTGCTGGCCTGCGAGAATTGAGGACTGTTTGTTCACAAAAGAGTCCGAGTAGAACACGGGTGTTACACAGTTCAAGGGTGTCTTGAAGAAAACTGATGCTGTGTAGGAGGAGGCTTCCAGGCTCAAGTTATTTCTTGGTTGTTGGTCCACAGCCCTCTCTTAGCCTTTAGGGAAAAAAAAGTTTTGTTTTGTTTTGTTTTTCTCTCTCTTTAGTTCCTTGACTTAGCCATACTTTAAACAGTTAAATTGAAGCATTTGAATAGTTTTTAAGGAGACGCACAGTGTACACTACTCTCTGGGAGAAGAAGTATTTTATTAATGAATGCAGTATGTGCTCTTGGTAAAGGCCAAAACTGAACTGGCTCTCAGTTTTTGTCTTGCTGGCTGTCGACATTGAGGTGTGTTGTTTGGCGTGGACTCAGTTTCCTGTAGGATAGCAGACAACTCCACACCGAGGTTTTTTTTGATAGGGATGAAAAGGTCAGTTACTTGATGTGTCAGAACACTTGGGGTTAAAACTCTTAAAAATGAAGCTATAATAATGATCCTGGAAACCTGTGGCTAGCCATATTGCCTATGAACCTAGGAATGTGAAAAAAAAAATAGTAGACTCAGCTCTATGCTAACACCAAGAATAATTCTTTGAACAAACAGTTTTACAGAACAAACTAGTCTTGACTCTGTTGTGAGTAATTATTTTCTTATTGGTTGTATAGATATGTTCTGGTGATTTATTTTTGCCTCTTCAGATTTATACAATGCATGTACAAGATGGGAGAACTTAAAGTACATGTATCTACCACATTAGAATGACACCAAAATCTCGATTGTCAAAATGGCTGTAAGGCATGATGTGGACCTTAAATAGTTATTCTGGAAAGAGTTGCCCTTCTTGTGGTACTCCCCTCTCAAGAGCAAATCCTGTATCTAAGCACATTATGTCTCGAAGCATTAACTGGAGTCTTTCCTGAATTGCTTTTCCACATTAAAAAATAAAGACTGAAATATAATATATGGAAGCACATCCTGCTAGGTCTGAGGCCTGAATCTGTACTTTATGGAATGCTCTGGGAATTTGGCAGAGAAGGGGAGGGGGCTGTTTACTTACTTACTGGGAGGGTCCTCTGGGGCTCAGGCTTTGAGAAAATTAGAGTATGGAGGACAGAACCCTGGAAAGCCAAACCTTAGAAAGGACTGGCTTCTGGATGTAACCAGTGAGTGAAAAAATGGAAACAAACAAATCTCAGATACAGTGGCTATGCATCTTTAGCCCACTGGATAGCCAAGGAGGGCCAACTCAAATGACCTTAAGAAGAAAGTTTATTTCCTCTGAAGATTTTCTGCATTCTTATTTTATGTAGTAGAGGGTGGAAAAAGGCCAAAACAAAATCAAACTATATAGTAGGTACACCACTGTGGCAACTTGGTAACTATACTTGCATGTGGAAGGTATTCAGTCAAATGAAAATGATTTGTGTGATGGTCACAGGCTGAATGATTGCTTGTGTTCTTTAGGGTGTGGGATTAAAAGGGACTTTCTAACATCTCTGTGTAGTGTTTCAATTTTTGTAACACCCATGTAATATTTTTTACATTTTTATAGTTCAGGAAAAGGCTGTACAAAAAGTATTTTATGCTGATCATTTAAAATTATCTTTAAGGTCATTACTTTTGTTAAGGGATAAAAGCTTCAATCTTCAACTTTAATTCACTCGGCAAGGTGTAAGTAGTTGTTTGTTCACCAAAAGTATATATTTACACAGGTTATTGCAAAAAAAGAAAAAAAAAAGTAGAATTTAAAAAGGCAAATTTTAACCTAGAGTACTCAGACTAAAAATTAAACAGTTCAAGAGTTTTTTGTTTTGTTTTGTTTTTTGGCAGTTTTTGGCCTGGTCTGGGTTTGAACCTGCCACCTCCGGTATATGGGGCCGGCGCCCTACTCCTTTATATAAAAATCTATCTGGAAACTCCCAAGAGCGTGAGATTCAGTCCTTGGATTTTTTGGGTGTGCCACTGATCATTTATGGAGTCTGAATTTTAAGGGCAGAAGTTTTTCTCCACCGATAGACTCTAGATTCGAAGACAAAAGAGACTGCACATATCATGGAAGTTTGTTGTCTATTGAGGGTTTCATAAGACAGACTCTTGAGAGTGAGTTTTCCCCCTCTGAATAGTTTGCTTGTCCCAGGCTAATGTAGTGAGGTTCTCCCGCAGCTGACCAGTTTAGGGAGTGTGCCTTTCGCTCCCCGGGGTCTAGACCCTGGCTTGCCTATGATGCCTTTGGATATGGTCCTTTCATTTTCTCATGTTAGAAGTGCATTCTGCCCATGGTGGGTAGAAACACCCCGCTAGTTTTTCGTCACTGGCACCACACCTCATCTTGGTCTTGTGCAATTTCAGAGAGGAAGGGAGTATTTATGCAAGATATATGTAAACTCTTAGCATGTGGTTCACTCTCGGTGCTGTTACTTTAAGATTACTCCTAGGCAATGCTTAATGTGAAAATACAGCATATTGCCAAATCTGGGATTCTAAAGCGTTCAGACCCCCACAATACTGTACATTTTGTTTGTCTGTTCATGTCCACCCCCAAATTAAAAAATGTGGTACTTAGTAGAGGCTGATCTGGTAACAAGAAAGAATCTTATTCTGCTATTATTCGCACATTTCTGCCTCCTGGAAGTAGGTAAAACCTACTTCCCTCAGAAACTCTAAAACCTAAAACCCTGACACTGTTGTGCGGGGTTTGTGCCGTGTCTGTGCCGCCCGCCGGGCTCTCCGGTGAAACTTGGTTGGAAGCAGCGAGTGGTGGAGACGCGACGGCTCTGGCAGTTGCGGTGGCCGGGCGGGGCCGCGGCTCTGCGGAGCGCGCGGGGCTCCCGCGGGGCAGGTGCGCGGCCGGGCGCGCCTGCGCGCCGGGTCCCTCCAGAGCCCCGCGGCGGGCGCGACCCCGGGCGGCGGGCTGCAGGCGCTCCACGCCGGGTTTTCCGCAGCTCTCGCGGCACAGACGGCCCCACGGCAGCCCCACCGGCTCACGCCTGTGCCTCCCCGGCAGCGCTTCAAAGCGTGCGGCGCCCGGCTGCGCGGAGTGATGGCACGGCGGGGCGTCGCTGGGACGGAGAGCAAGGACGCAGCGGGTGGCGGGCACCGGCTTTTGCAATTTGGAATCTTTCCGTGAGGGGGCTGAGGAGGAGCCAGGCAGCGCCGAAGGCCGTGAGGGGCGTGAGGGGGAGTGTTCCCGGAAAGCCGCGGCGATGGAGCCGCTCTGCGCTCGCCGCCCAAGGAGTTGAGAAAGAAAACAGGAAACGTGGTGGCCGCGCACCCGGCCGCGGCTGATTCATTCGCTTTGAGCGCCGCGCACAAGGCTCGGCAGGCGGGGCGGGCGCGGGGCTGCGGCTCGGGGCCGGGACCGAGGAGACCTGGCGCTGGCCCAGACGCTCCTCCGCGGGGCGGACACCCAGGCGCGCACGCCGCCCCCTTCGCCATCCTCCGGGACGGGGCTCCGGGACTAGGAGCCGCCGCTCCGTCTGCAAGTCGCAGCGTGGTGTTTCCGCCGGTGTCCTCGCGTAAAAGTTGGCGTGCCGCTCTTTGCGCGCCCTTCCCGGAGGCCGACCGAGACGCCAAGCTGGAGAGACCTTGTCATCCCGAGGCCGGCCGCCCAGCGAGCAGAGCCTCGGCCCCCGTCCCGCTGCCGGGCTCGGCAATATGAGGGAGCAGCCCTCATGTGCCGGCACCGGGCATCCGAGCATGGCGGGGTATGGCAGGATGGCCCCCTTTGAACTTGCTAGCGGCTCCGCGAAGCGCTTGAGAACTGAGTCCCCCTTTCCCTGTCTCTTCGCAGAGGAGGCCTACCAGAAACTGGCCAGCGAGACCCTGGAGGAGCTGGACTGGTGTCTGGACCAGCTAGAGACCCTACAGACCAGGCACTCTGTCAGTGAGATGGCCTCCAACAAGGTAAGCCCCGGTTTTGTTATCACTGATGCCCCTAGGCTGCTGATAGCCACGCTGGTGAAGCCACCGGTCCCCAATGTCCCCGGGAAATATATTGAGACATTTGTCATGCCAACTGCATGTTAGCTGTTCTGCTCCTTTGCAGGAGAGTTCCATTTCCATGCTTTCCCTGTCTCTCCTATTCATTCCAGATAAATTAAACATTTTGCAAAGGCAACTTTGACATAGTTTGAGTACCCCCGGGACACAGAGTTTCTAAGTGACATTTTGCCCTTGGAGCAGAAATCCAGTAGGGTCCATTGATATTGCATGTTGCATGTTTAAAGGTATTCTTGGGATGCCCAGTTGAAAATAAGCGTTGCTGGTTGTCAATGAAATCACTTGAATGTCACGACCCTAGGGCAACCAAACTCAGAAGAGTTCCCTGAACTTGGAACCTTAACCTCATTTGTCTAGTTGTCAGGGTACAACTGAGCTTTTCTTTATATATATTCAGTTGGCCATACGCATCTTCAGGACATGTTAAAAAAGAGTTAGAAGGTTCCTTATAATCATTGCCTTCATTTCCATTAATCTTGGGGAGAAAATCCAGTTTTCTGAGGTGGTTCAGTTACAAGGAGACTTCGACTAGGCATTTGTGCCTTAATGTGCTAAGGTGCTGATCGTGGCAGTAAATGTACTTTGGGGGTCTGAGAAGTAACCTTTAGCCTGAGACAGCCTTAAAATAGCCTGGAAGGCGAGGTAGAATGTTTTCAGTTTTGCTGTATTTTGGGGGATTCCTGTTCTTTTTGCCTTTAGTTATGCAAGGAAATAGTTGAGATTATCCATGTTTTTAATGACTGTTTTGCTGAGAGGACAGAGAGGTATATGCATGTTGGAGGCAGATGGCCGAGGTATTTAGCCAATAAGGACTTGGTAGTGTTGTGTGGCAGATACTAATAGTTGTCTCTTAAATATATGTAAGTATTTGGGGCCACCTATTTACAAGGTCAAGAAGGTTATATCATCTTACAGTTTATTTACACGTATCTTTCAATGAGTGATGCGTTTTTAAAAACTTAGTTTTTATCCCACCTGTTTCATTCTCATGCAGTTTTTACGAAAATGTCATAGCATATCGGCCACTTGATTGTTTTACTGAGTTAATCTTGTTTATATAGATAGCAGTGTTGTTTAAGGAAAAAGTTGGCTTCAAATAAATAAAATAAAAGAGGCGCCCCTGCAGACACTGCTTGCAGATAGTGACCTATCCATGTACACAATGATGATTAAATATATAGGTTCCTCCCCCTCCCTCGTTTGGGCCTCATTTCTAAATTTGGCATGGCTCCTCATCAGAATGACTGGTTATTGCTTCTTAAGGGGACTCTTCCTCCCTGATGTGGCATTAGGGACCATTGTTTTCATTTGGGTAACACGTTCTTAGTTTTATAGAATATAGATAATTTTTTTCTTAATTTGATTCATAACACCAGTAGACATAAGTATCTCCAGTACCCTAACTGCTGACTGGGAGCATTCTCCAGTGGGCCTGGGCGGAAATGTTAATTCTATTGTCTGGTTGATTGTGTGTAATAAAAGGAAGAGCAGAATCTGAAGGCACCTAGTGGCGTAGAAGCATTTGTTTATGTTTTCAAGATGATGTGAGAGTACTTTTTCAACTAAATGAATTTAGTTCATTTAGTTCAACCATTTCAAAAGAATGGTCAGTGTAAGAGTTCCGTAAAGTCCATGATCCTAATAATGAGACTTGTGTTGTGTTTGAACTTAAAAATTAATGTAAAATCCAAGAATGTAAATTTCTTCAACTGTTAAGTAATTAATTGAGCTATGCTTCAAGATAAAAAAAAATTATAGGTTGCAATAATTGCTTAAAATGTTTTTTTTCTTTTAAAGGCACCAGATAAGACAGTTTTATTTTGAAATTACACTTCAAGTTAGTTTACAGTTACATAGGGTTCAGAGGTTTATTTGGTTGAAGCAAATTCTAGGTAAAATGAGAAAATGCCTTTTTCAAAATGTGGTCTTTCTAGCTGTGTTTATGTTTCGTGGTTGAAAAATTATTGATGTGACACTTATTTTTAAAATCAAAGTTAGCTCAGCTGAAGCTGTTGCTTCAACTTTTAATGTCCCAGCCACTCATTTCTTTTTAAACTCATTCATTACTATAGAAGAGCCAAGCTCCCGTAACTTTTCATAGGAGAAAAAGGGTTAGCATTGGAAGAAAAAAAGTGCTTGGTGAAGGTTATAAAGTTACCCTTCTGCTTGATTAACAAGGGCATAAATAAGCCACATCCCCAAGAGCTGTAAACTGAGTTGGGGCAGCTGATGTAAAGGCCATGTGAGTGGTGCGGCACCTTCTGTCTGAACTGGAACTGTGTACAACTTACATTACATGTCTGCTCAGTTTGATATCTCTGAAGTATGAATGAATCAGTCGGAAACATTGCTTTTCATTTATTCGTTTTATTACCACTCATTCTTTTTAAATATACTTGTTCAAACCAGCCATTGTTTTCAGTTGATTCTCTTTTGGCTTTTGAAAATCATGACAGTTTTCTCTGTGTTCTCTCTTGAGGTTTTTAAAGATTTCCTGCAGTAGATTGAAAAGGACAATGAAAACACTAGTTAGAGATCAAGATTTTAAAAATGATAATAGAAAATGCTTACTATGGAGATAGACTTGGGTGTTACAAAGAAGGAAATTGATTGCCCAAACCCATTTAACAAATTGGGTTTCCTAGATATTTTAATAAAAGGAATCTAAACCAGCAGTTTTTAAATGATGCTTTAGAAGCAGGTAGCTTCTAGCATAATACCAATATTTCCTGTATTGGTGTTATGTGCATACTGTTTGTTGAGAGTACTGAGGCAGGAAGATTATTGAATTCTTGGCCAACACCAAGGTTGGCTGTAACACATGTAGGATGCTTATACAAAGTGGGGCAAGAGATTCCAGATGGATTTAATTTGAGTGATTACATCCACAGTATTTACTCTCATAAGCACATTAATCTGCCTGAGATTTGTATAGATTTCCTCTGGAACCTCATTGCTACAGTTGAATATGGTTTTAGTGTGATCTTGAAGCTTTGGAGGCAGATAGACCTGCAAGTTGCATCATGGGTTTGTTCCTTGTAAGCTATCTATGTTAGAGAAATGACTTCGACTTGTTTAGGTTCAGTTTCCTTAGCCTGATATGGGTGTACTAGTAACTAGTTTGAATGGTCAGTGTAAGAGTTCAAAAGAATACAATAGCTGCCTAATACAGTCTCTGACAACAGTGGGCACTACCAATCCTACTACTGGTATTATTTAGGGTTCCAGTCAAACTTCACTGGTTGTCTACTTGGCTAAACATGTTTTTTTTTTTGTTTGTTTCATTTTTTTTATTTGTTTGTTGGGTGTTTTTTTTTTTTTTTTTTGGTTTTTTGGTTGTTTTCTTTTTACCATTTAGTTGTAATTTATGCTAGACATTTAAAGTTTCATAGATTTTTATAATTCTTAGATAATAACTGTCTTCAGTGTACATGTGGGTATTGTAAAAATTCTTAAATTATATTTATAGTATTTTTAGTATAATAGAGACATACTTTTTTGAAGTTTTAATTATCAGTTTAGTCTTTTCTTAAATTCCAGCTACAGAAAGCCAGACAGAAGAACTAAGTATTTTTTTGTCTTTTACTCTAAAATTGAAAACACAGCCCTTATTAACTTTTATAACATACTAAATATAATGTGAGTGGGTGGGCTAATTTTCCTCCTTTTGTTTAGATTTTTCAAAGCTTTTTAGTAAAGTATCTCTAGATAATGCAAAATGATTTCACTGTGTTTTTGTTTACCTTTCTCTCATGGAAAGTATGTCGAACACGAGAGTGGGTAGAAAGGAGTGCATGACGGAGGTCTGGAGCTCAGGGCTTTCGAGGCTTATAATATGGAACCTTATAACTTTATCCTCTTGTGAGTCAATAAGGCATATCTCACCAGGCCTTCAATGTGAATGCAGCAATGTTTGAAGGAGAAAACAAAATCATTTTGCGTTCTCCCCAAAACATACCACTATAAAACTATATTTTATTTCTGCCCTCTATTTTGGCGGGGGAGGGGGGGTGACTTTGAGGCTTGGCCTTGTTGGAAACTCCCGTACCTGAAGCTGAAAGTCTGTCTTGTAATTTGGATTCAAGCATCCGTCTAAGAAACTTCAGGGATTTCTATAGTTCATTTCAAATGAACTTAGGTGAGCTTTGCAAATGTGGTCATGACTTTATGGAATTTATTTTGTCTGTTTGGTTTTTAGCAAACATCCATAGCATGTATCTGTGGCCTATAAATTAAACTGCTTTACTAAGGGGCTTTTTCAGGGCGTTTTCTTTGGCTACTCCCCCTACTGCTTTGTAGAAGTCAATGCATAAAGTTTACTATTAGCTCTTCTGTGACTGCTGATAGATTGTCTTAGAGGCAAAAGCGGGGCTGGAATAAATATAGGATATTCATAAAAGTGGCTGAATTTAAGTTATTTCAGCATTGTGTAAATACAAGACAACTCAGGATAGAAATACATGTTAAACTTTTGCAAAGAAAGAAGCTAAGTTGGTTGGAAAAAAGCATTTTAATTTTAGGAGAGAAAATAGCAGTAGTTGTTCTCCCCCATTAAAATATTAAAACTGAGATAAAAGTTTTGTGAAGATTTTTATCAACAGGCCTAAAGGAAAACTTTGTATTTCAAAAGAAAATATCACCCATAATTATAGAAATTCAACTTTTTGATCTTTCGAGTTTATCTGACTTTATATCCACTTACTAAAGGTAGATGTGGGAAAGATTTATAAAGTTTATGTGTAATGCCTTAAAGCTAATTGGAAGGAACTGGAATCTTTACTTTTATAATCACTGTTAGAAAAAATAAATATTTTCCTTTGCTTTTAAGTAATAATGGAAGAGCAAAACACTTTTAAAGTAACTTTTGCCAAATAGTAAAGCCCTTGACTTTAACTTAGCAAGAC